CCTCCACTCCACTTCACCAACCCTATGCCCATGATCCACTTTATTCTCAGCAGATGACCTCCCTTCTTATTCCAGTATGCAAATATAGGGCATCAGATGCTAACTTTCAATTTCCTGCCTTTACCCAACCCTGCCACATAGGTGTATGCCTGCTTGTCCTAACCCCCTTTCTTCTTGTCTTGCAGGAACTACTTCTATGCTTTGGGATCCGTACCCTCCTACCTCCTTGGTGACCTTTCTTCATCAGTTATCCCCTCTCTCTTCTGTATCTTCAATTATCTTTTCTCTTTTTACTGGCTGCTTCCCATCAGTGTTTAGATATACACAACTTTCTCCTATTAAAAAAAAGAAGCAAACAAACCTCTCCTTCGACTCTGATGTTCACCCTATTTCTTTTCTTCCACTATCACAGAAGCTTTTCAAAAGAGTAGTCTACACTCATTGTCTCCATTTCCTCATCTTCCATTCAAAACCCAGTAACCTCACCCTCCCCCCCACCTCCAGTCTGGCTTTTCTGACCCCAGAATACCACTGTTACTGCTCTTGTTAAGGAAACCAATGACATCCTGATTGCCAAATCCGACGAACAATTTTAAGTCTTTGTTTTACTAGACATCTCCCTGCTGCATTTAACATCTCACTCTCATGCCACTTCTGTCCTCATGCCTCTCTTAAAAATGCCTACTCCTTGTCCTTGGTGATGCTGCTCCTCTCCTGATTCTACTCACTCCTCTCTAGTTACTCCTTCTTATGCTCCTTTGTGGACTCTTTCTCTGCCACCCCTTAAATGCTGGTCCTTTCCAAGATTTTTCTCATTCTATATCTTTCCCCTAGATCATCTCATCCAACCCCATGGTTTTATCTGCTGTGCTATTGACTCCCTTCTCTGTATTTATAGTCCTAGATCTGTCTCTTTTTCTCTCTCCAGATCTCTCTTGTAAGCTCCAAGCCTGGATACTCAATTGCAACCAAACGTGTGGGACATGTGTCCCACGGGTACCTCAAAACCAAATTCAGTGTGTCACAAATTCAACTTCCTTTTCAAATCTGCTCCTTCTCCTCTATCTACCCTATTAGTACCATTTTGGTGATGCAGAACTCTAGCCACACAGCTGTCCAGACCTGAATCTTAGGAGTCATTCTAGACTCTTCATTCAACCAGTTACCAAGACCTATTAAGTCCATCTTCTAACTATCTACCTGGTATGTCTTTTCTTTATGCTACTACATTGTGTTAGTACAGACTCTCCAGCATCTCTTTTTTTAAACTACTAAAATAGCTTCTTAAATGGTCTCCCTGATCCTTGGCCCACTCCCCTTTAATCTGTTCTCCATATTGGTGCTAGAATGAGTTTTCTGTAATGCAAATTGGATCACATCACTCCTCTTCTTCAAGCACTATAGCATGGCTCCCCACTGCTTACCAGAACAGTCCAAATGGCTCCACGTGTCTTACAAGGTCTTTTGCAACCTGACCCTGACTACCCTTCTAGTCTTATCTTCTATAATCCTTTCCTTATCTTCTTGCCCAACTAATGTCAAACAGAACACACCATTATGACCCCATGCTTTTGTACACACTGTTCTCGCTGCCTAGAATGACCCCTTGTTTTCTAGTCAAACCCTTGTTCAATTTTCGAAATTGGACTTGGTGTATCTCTGGATAGATATACAAGAAACTAGTGACAGTGATTTGCCTCTGCAGAGAGCTGGGTGGTTAGGGCACATGGGTGGAAGGCAGAGTTTCTTTGCAGATCTTTTCATACATTTTCTATTTTGTACCACAAATCTGAATTGGTGACTCAAAAAATAGATACAATGCAATCATTTAAAAAAAAAGACTTGGAGATCATGTCCTCTAGAAAGTTGTCTTCCCCTTTGAATTCCCCCTCTGTAGTTTTCTCTTCCTTCTCTGTGTTACCTCTGGGCCTAGAATGTGCTCCTGTAAGCAGAATAATCACATTGTGTTGTAATTTATCTTGTAAGTGGTCTATTTCCCCAGGTTATCAGCTCCTCAGGGGCAGGGGCTGCACCTTATTTCTTATTTTCCTAGACTCTAGCACTGTGCTCCATAAATGTTTATTGAATAAATGAAGAAATGAGTGAAGAAATGAATGAACTCTGGGATGCCCCCTTTATAAAACATGGCTCTCAAGCCTGTGTTTTTTCCAGATCACCTTCACTCTGTTCTTTAGCCATGTGTGGAATCTAAAAGTAATACTTCACATTTATTCCTAAGTATCATCCATCACCCTGTCAGTTTTGGTTCAGCATCATCCAAGACTGCCCAGATCTGTTCAAAGTCTCTCCTATCTCTGTGTCATTGGCAGATTTGATATGTATTTATGTGTCCTATTCTGAGTCACTGAATCACAGTATTGGAATAATTTGTCTAATACTGCTGTTTTAGGAACATATCAGTGTGTTAAGTACTGCACTAGGTGTTTTTACATATGACACTGCCACAGCATTTGCTGCAGGGTAGGTACTTTGATCCCCAGTTTACAGATGAGGATATTGAAGTCAATATGGTTAAGTACTTTGCTCAGTGTCACATTGCTAGTAAAAGCTGAGATTTGAACTGAGGTCTTTTGACTTCAAAATTTATGCTTGTTTCATAACACAACACTGGCTGAAAGTCCACTGCTTGACTACCGGGCAAGTGCTTCTCCAAGGTTGGCTTGAACTCCTCAGTGCCTAGTGCTCATTGCTCCCCCAAGGCAGCCCGTTCCATCTTTGGACTGCTCTGACCATTTTAAAAGCTCTTGTCTGTAGTAAGCCAAAATTATAAATGAGCTGAACCAGACACAGCCAAGAATAGAGCTTTTTGGCTCACTCCTAGAACCTCCCTTCTAGTCTGACACCAAACCATTTGTTTGTTCAACTAGTTACAGACTCATCTCAACAAACAGCTGGAGCTCCCAGCCTATATTTTGCCATCTCATCTACAAGGAAATTATGGAAAACTTTGGCCAATGTCTGAATAAATGAAATCCATGATAGCTATCACATTCTCCGATCTGCCAATCTAGTAACCAACCAGATCCAAAAAAAAAAAAAAGGAAATGAGATCTGGGAGGGAAATTTGTTTTTTAACAGGGCAATTTGTCAATGACTCAAAGTAATGAGTTTCCAGCGGCAGATTTTCAGACATCATTGACAGACTGTCAGGAAGATGATTTTTGGGCAGTAGACTTCCTACTACTCTTCAAATGACATCTAAATAGGCAGGGCCCCTCATTTTCATTACTTTGAATTGTATAGCACTGTCATTTGTACCTGGTTTTATTTAGGCTTCTATTTCTGTTTTCTATGCTTTTATTTTTCTTTGTGTTCTGCCCTGGTACATATTTTCTCTGTGTGGCCCATTTTCTAAATTTCTACATCCTCCTTCCAAACACACACACACACACACACACACACACACACACACACATCCTCCTTGTCGTTTGAAAATCAGTGCACACAGCCCCTTCTTTGGATGCCATCTCTGGTGCCCCCAAACTGGGTAACTGTTTCTCTTCCTGTGTGATATCGTGGAAAGTGCACACAGTGTCCAACACCAAGTAGATGCTCAAGAAATGTTAGTTCCCTTCTTCCTTTCCCTATGTATATTGCTAAAATAGTATTGGTCACACCAGATTGTGTTTTCTTCTTTACCTGTCTGGCTTCGTCACCCAATTCTGAACTCATGTGTTCTTTCATTGAACAGATATTTATTGCATGTCTACTGTGTGTGCAAGTCATCATTCATGCTAGGTGCTGGGGATCCAATAATTTCTGAAAATCATACTTTCACTGTGTCTTTTTCATTGTTGCATTCATAGCACTTAGCATAGTGCCTAGCAAATAAAGAGTGCTCATGAAAGGTTTGTTACGAGAATGCACTTTTCCTCAGCAGAGTTTCTCCAAGTGTGGTCCTTGGACCACTTGCATCTGGATCACCGAAGGGTGCAGGTTAAATGTTAAATGTCAGTTCTTAGATCTTGCTCTAGAAGTGCTGAGTCAGAATCTCCTAAGGGTGGGCTTCAAGAATCTGCATTTCAATCTCACTCTCTAGTTACCTCTTTCACACTAAAATTTGGGAACCATTGCACAATAGGAGATGGTAGGGTGGGGTGAACTAATCCACATTTTTCTCAAATTTTTTCAGTGTAGCTAAGACCAGTGGAATCATTTTTAATGCCTTTGACTGCAGTAGGGAAATTTAGTAAAGGGGGAAAAGGTCATTAGTTAAAATTCTCTGAGAGGGTTTTAAAAAGACACTTGGAATATCCAAACAATTAAATAAAAGCCTTTCTAAAGTCTGAGGTGACAAGTGGAATTAGTGTTAATAAAATCTAATCTTGATTTGAGTCAGATTTATGATGCCAGACAAGTTTCATTTTTATAGAGCTTCTTGTATACTTAATAGTATAGGGACTCTTTGCTTAACCTAACAATACAATACAATACGTTGATTTGCATACTATAGACTTGAGTCACAAATTTATTACTTTAAATTATGAGAGAGCATGTCACAACTGTATTTGTGTTTGACTCCGATTATGTATGCAATTTATCTGATGTCTAGTCCTTGATCAGGGATGGTGGCAGTGCTTCATGAAAATTTGATCCATTTTACTGTTTTATGCCGTATTTTCCAAGAGCAGATTAAATTATTAAATGTGTTCTTTGGTAATAGATGAAGTCTGTAAGAGATGAGTGAACCAAAGGCAGAGTAACTTCCCTTTCAGGAAGACTTGCAAAATTGGATTTTATGACCAAGTCCGTGGGGCTTGGAGCTTTCCATTTTGCATTTGCCTTGATGTGATCCTCATGGTCAAGAGCTGTCTATGTATCTGGGCACAAACTTCTTTAAATAGACACAGGTTTATATTTCTGTTTCCCTTCTTGTAACTTTACTTCTTTTTAACAATTTAATTTAGGGTTTCTTTGCTGGTGTCACTGCTGCTAAGCTGGATCGGGAACTGCTGCCCTCACAGTGCCTACTGGGCACTATGTCCAACGACCTGAGAATTCTGTGCAGTGATTCATCCCTAGTGCTGAGTGAGTACCAGGACCAGCAGTTTAGTGGCAACAATGAGTATGAAAAATTATTGATGGAAAGGTCCACACTCTATGTGGGGAATCTTTCCTTTTATACAACTGAAGAGCGAATATTCGAGGTCTTTAGCAGATGCAGTGATGTTAAGGCTGTATTTATGGGCCTGGATAAAATAAAAAAAATGACATGTGTTTTTTGTTTTGTAGAATACCATAACAGAGCTGATGCCCAAAATGCCATGTGATTCCTAAATGGAACCCATTTAGATGACTATATTATCTGCACAAATTGGGGTCTAGGCTTTAGAGAGGGCAGACAATATGATTGTGGCCCATCTGGGGGCCAGGTCAGAGATGAGTTTCGTGAAGACTTTGATACTGGTAGAGGAGGCTTTGGAAGACAGGCTCAGGCCTGTGATAGGAGAGGAATCCGCTAGGGAAAAGCTTGCAGCTCTGACCCTTCAGTAAGTCTATTAAAGAACAACACCAGGTCAGCAAATAGCCCATTTCATAAGAAATTTAAATTATTGTACTTGCTTAGCAGAAACCTTTGTAATGTATTTTTCTCTTTGAAACATTATTAAATGGCACAAACAAGAACAAAAAAAATGTTCTTGTCTTAATTTTGAAGCTGATTGTCAGATTATCAGTTTGACCATCAGGTGGTCAACAGGGAAGTGTTCTTCAGAAATAAATTAGATATGTGAGATATGAGTCAACCAAAGCACGACTTCCCTTTCAGGAAGACTTCAGTTGAATTTTATGACCATGTTCCTAGGGCCTACAATGATCAATTTTTTAGACTTTGCATAAAATAAAAAGTCAAATAATTAGAAATTTAAATAAAATCATCAAAAGAATACAAGCACATTTTTTAAACTGTTGAAAAAACCTGGAAGAGTTTACTATGAAAGCAAAAATCATCCTGCCCCACCTCTTCCTACCCCAAGGCCTATTCCCTGGGCAATAACTTTCAATTATTTTAGCAGGATTTTTCCTGGTAGTTTCCTCCATATTTCTAAATAACATGACTGCTTATACTATTTATTTTCATTTTGAATATCATCTACTGACTCTGCTTTTATAGATGAGGGTTTGGCTCACTCACACCCCCATTTGCACCCCTCTTCTCTCCATCTTCTCAATATACTTTATAACTCTTTACTCACCGTTTCTATTGTTACATAACATGGGTTAGGTTATGCTGTAATAACAAACAACCCCTAAAGCCTTAGTGGCTGGAAATCACTAAACTCCATTCCTCACACTACATTTCCATTGCTGATTGCCTGGAGGCTCTGCTCCATGTCACGATCATTCTCCTTCTGGGGCCCAGAAAGCTTAGCCACTATCAGTAGTGTGAATTAGTTATGGCAATTCCCTCTCTCTTGCTGGTGATTGGCTTAGGAATCCAGGCTTAAGCCAATCAGAGGTTTACAATCCTGTGATGATCATTATTAATAAAGTCAGAGGTGCACAGTGACCAATGGGGACCCCAATAAAGACTGAAATGAAGGATTTTTAGTTTATGTTTGAAGGGGAAATTGTCTCTCTCCTTCCCACTGGATGTGAATAAATATGTGTACAGTGATTTCTATAAGCAGCCTTCTTACAACCATAGGAGAAAGAAGCCCTAGGGTGAATTGGACTCTTTAGATAGTGAAAGAAGGACCAAAGAAACTGCTGAATCAACTAATCCTGTAGCACATACTACGTCTGGATGTCTTATTACGTGAAATGATACATTATTTTATCCTGTAAGCCAGCTTGTTAACATGCAGCTGAAAGCACTCTGATACCAAATACTTTTTCTTAATTTCATTCTTGTATAAAGGATTTAAGTTGCTCTCTCCTGTGCCCAAGCATACATCTCCAGGATTTATGACATTTCATCTGGAAATTAGAGAAAATCACCTTCTTACTCCTGACTCCTTCACCCTGTGACCTGCGGTCATCCTCTCTGATCAGTAACATTCTTTCATGAATAAGGGAGGAAAAGGAATGCCAATTTTTATGGAGTGACTATTATGTGCTGGGCAATTTGCTAGAGGCTTTAAAACACAATTTCATTTACACTTAACAACTCTGTGCCCTTTACATAGGTGAGAAAACTGAGGATCAGAGCTGTAAGGGCACTAATTAGCAAGTGACAGAGCTGGGGTTCAAACCAAGAGAGTCTAGATCAAAGCTGGTGCCCTTAATCTGGGTACTCTATTCTCTCTTTCCGTTATCTTCAGTCAGGCCAGGAGGTCCGAATCTCTCCTTGAGGTTCCTTTTTTATCAGGAAATTATCCCACTGACTACATATCTGAGCTCTCTCTCTCTCAAGCAAGTTTCTCAAGTGTGTTCTCCTTTCTTCTTTGCTGTCCAAGCTCCACATCTAATGCCACCCAGCCATAGTTATCCTTATGCTCTGGGAGAAAGAGGAACACCTGACATGCATTTCTGGCTAATTTAGCTTACTCTGCATACAGCAATGGAGTTGACTAACTTTTTAGCATCTCCTGTTTGCAACTTCCCTAAAATAGAAAAAGAGATGTTTCAAGTCATGGGATTAAACTTTTGTTTTTAACACAGGATGTTTCTGGAGGAGTACCTTGGCATATCTCCCAACCGCTCCTACTAGTGGGTGCCAACTTAGACTGCTCCCAAGGATGCCTTTAAGCATTTAACAATGTCTTATAAAGCATACTTTTGGTTAAGTAAAGAAACTTTCATACCGTATGGATAAAAAACTCCTCCAGCAGTTCTTACAGTATAACATGTTCTTCAAATTCATGCTGAATAAATCAATAGAATAAAGGCTAAAAATCACATGATCATCTCAATAGATGCAGAAAAAACATTTGAAAAAATTCAATACCCTTTTCATGACAAAAATGCTCAACAAAATAGGAATAGAACAGGACTTCCTCACTCTGATAAAGGGCATCTATGAAAACCCCACAGCTAACATACTCAGTGGTTAAAGACTGAAAGCTTTCCCCCTGAGATCAGGAACAATAGACTTTTATTCAATATTGTGCTGGAGGTTTTAAGCTAGGGTAATTAGGTAAAAAAAAAAGAAACAAAAGACATTCATATTGAAAAGTAAAATATATTTGCAAGTTGCATGATCTTATGTAGAGAAAATCCTAAGGAGTCCACAAAAATGAGAAGTACTAGAGCTAATAGTTCAGAAAATTTTCAGGAGATAAAATCAATATACAAAAATCGATTGCACATCTATGAACTAGCAATAAAAAATCCAAAATGAAATTAAGAAAGCAATTCCATTTAAAATATCATCAAAAAGAATAAAATACTTAGGAAAAAATATCATATAAGAAGTGCCAAATTTATACTTCGAAAACTACAAAGCATTGTTGAAAGAAATTGAAGAAGACTTAAATAACTGGAAAGGTATCCCATGTTCATGAGTTGAAAGACTTCTTAATATTGTTAAGAGGACAATGGCTCCCAAACTGATCAACAGTTTCAATGCAATTCCTATCAAAATTCCAGCTGGCTTTTTTTTTTTGCAGAAATTG